TAAGAAATTTAGTCCTGGGGCATGATTTATGCTCACTGATTTTTATTAATAACTAGAAATGTGATTTTGTTGCTTACATGGATACTTCAGTGCCAGGAATACAAAGCTGTATTCCTGGCACTATTGCTCCCACTATTGTCTCTTCCCTCGAGCCCCTCTCCCAAAAGTGCTAAATAAAGGGTTAAGAAACATTTATTTGTTTACCTTATCCCAGCGCTGACGCCCCTCGGCGCTGGGTCGATGCTCCGCCCCCTCCAACGTCCCACAACGAGCAGATACTAATTTTCATGCATTGCAACTGCTGCGCGCGCATTAGACCTCCCCATAGAAAAGCACACTCATGCAGAGTGTGAGGACATCCAGCATCAGATACCCAACCAAAAGTCATTTCGATGCATGAAGCACCCTTAGTAGCTGTCTAGTAGGCAGCCAATGTGGGCAAACTTAGAGCTGCAATTTAAACATTGCATTTTCTCTGGAACTACGTTTTTTACATTGCAGCACTAAGTGCAAAAGGGACACTGCACACAGGCCACTCCAATGAGCTGAAGTTGTTTGGGTGCCTATAGTATCCCTTTAGCCCCTTAAGGACACAGCTTCATAAGTAAAAGGCCAACAAGACAAAAAATTTCCATCATGTGTTCTTAATGCATTTGGTAAGAACAAAAGCCGTGTGATTTTTTTTTTCTTCTTACTAATCTCTACTGATAACTATAGTGATGTGAAATTTCTTCTGAAGTTTAGTAGGACATTACATATGATTTCATTCATATACGGTATAATAGAAAATTTCCCACATTTGTTCCACATTCTGACATTTGTTCCGTAGTCCTACTATGTAGTAATTAATGAACTAAACAAAAAAGAAAGTAATCTCTAATGGTGACTTGCAAAAATTTCACAGGAGCACTTGTTATGGATTAAACAAATTCACATATTTTCTCAGTAAACGTGTCAGATGATCTACCAGTCAACAGTTCATTAGGTTACAGTTTATCTTTCACCTGTATAAGGTCAAGTAAAAGGGAAATCCTCACCTTGGCTTCAAACATGGAAAAAAAGACTGACAGATTTATAGCTTTTTAATGGAACCACTAAGTGAAATAACATGATTCATTTGTTTTATTCTAATCATTAACGTCGAAAACTTAAAAAAAATATAAAAAAGGTGCCTAATAAATTCCTTACTCTATACTTATACAACTTTTGACGCAGTGAACCAAAACCTTTTTTTCTTTTGGCAAACTTGGTAACATGGCAATTGTTGTTAGTGTACAATTATATGGAGCACCTAAAACTAAGTTCGTAAAACTTATATTACAAAATATGTGTGTAACACCAGAAACTCACCAGTGAAATAAAAAAACAAAAAACATTTATTTTACTCTTTATTTTTGTTTACTTGTCCTTTGAAATAGCCTCGTCTTAAGTGACCAATAAAATACTTTAAAACTAAAATCTACAGACAAAGAGGTAAAACATAAGAGCACATGGAGTAATGTAACCCATCTAAAAATGAAATATTTATTGCATTCACAAGAATAAATAGAATCTGTGTCTATTTCCCCTTGGAGGCATGTCCACTGAGTGGTACTCTTTTTCCACTTAACTTCTACTTTAGAGGACACTGGGTGATATGCCCATATTCTATTTATTCTCATGAGTGTGATATATATTTTATTTTTAGGATAGCCAATCAGAGATGCACCTACCTCGAGTGTGGCCGTAGAGCACTTGTATGGACTTCAAATGCCCTGAATTGAATTGAGTGGTGTAATGGGTGCCTTTGGTGCACATACCATCAGTCCTTCCAGCATCGGGTTCAAGCTCTGGATTTATAAAAATATTTGTCTGTAGACCTTTGTTGTGAGTAAATTCATAAGATCTTTTTAACTCCTTAGGAACTAATACCAGTCCTTGCCTTCATCACAGTCTGGTCAAAACAAATGAGACTATGGAATCAGCATGGAATGTTGTAGTCTGGTCACAAGCCTGGTCACAAGCCTTATACCCACATGCAATCAGCATGGAATTTCTTATATTTTTTACAACCAGCATCTCTATAAAACATTGTTAAAGCAAATGAGTAGAAAATTTTGCGTCATGGAAGCTTTTCAAATGCCTATATTGTTATGTCAACAAATTTATCGACCTGTATCAGATTGACAGTTGAGAGATTATTTCACCCATTGACTGAAATATGCTGAATCAATAGTAAATAGGAAGGCATTTTTGACTATGCAAAAGGTAGTAATTATTGTAGTAAAAGTGAATTTAAATATATCTGAAGTATATATATATATGTATGTTGTTTCACTCACATTTTTCAAAGAAAAACAATTATGTAAATATCTTTAGATTATAAAAACTACAATACAAATTTTCTAAATAACATCTCCAAATGTAACTTTGATTTCTTAGAACCGCATACATCATGGGTGTCCAATCTTTTGACTTCCTTGGGCTGCATTGAGCGCAGAGGAATTGCCTTGGGCCACACATAAAATCTAAAACGTAAATGATGTATATACTAAAACTCCAAAAGCCCTTTTCTTAAATTTTTTAGTAGATAACTCTCTTATTTGTTATTGTTACGTTGGATTTCCATATTTAAGGATACCAACTGTGGCAAAACTAGTCACTTAAGAAATGTATGTGGGTAAAATGTTTCATTATTCATTTATTTTCCCTTTTATTACATGTATATGTATAGGGCATTTGTGTGCTTGCAGCATACGAATGCCGCCAGTGTCCCGCTTGGAGTTCCACGAACAGGGATTTTCAAACACTGTTCGTGAAAGGAACAAACTGCCGAATGGGAGACCACACAATGGGGGTCATGTGTCTCCCATTAACTATTGCAACAATGTATCTTCAGTTTATTAATGGGTTTTGTGGGTGGTCGCCGTTCGAATATCGAACACGTGGCAGCGGCCATCTTTGTTCAGGAAAGCACAGCGGTGTTTGGTTGTCAAGTGCCTGGAACTAAAATCAGTTACTCGACTTACTGAACACCGCTGGACTTCTAGGCCGTTCCTGCAAATAATTATTTTGGTAGATTAAAGGTTTTCGTATATTCTCCAGGTAAAATATCTCTTCACCTAAAGTTGTATTTCGCATGGCGTTCGTTTATTTCTGCTGGGATCTGAGCGGTAATTCACCAGATGGTGCGCTCAGATCCCAGCTATAAAATAAAGGGTCATTCGACTAATTCCGCTCACTATTTTACAAGTTATGGATTTTAATGTACAATGGTATGTTTTACTGTACGGAGAGATAATGTGATTATCAGTACATTCTTACACAATTATCTCTCCTGTACAGCATGGCCTGATGGGAAAAGACCTTGCAGGGTCAGTTTCCCACACAGTCCCCTTGATTAAACCCCCTGTAATACCAGTTTGTAAACCCCTTGCATGGGGAACTGCATAAATACCGTGACCTGTGAATAAAAGTTCAGTTGACCTCCAAGCTATGTGTCGTCTAGTTCTTGGGAGGAAGGCCTTGTTATTACGCTACCTGTGTTTTACCTGCTTATCCTGACTACCACTGGAGATATCGTGGATTTACCCCTACTACTCCGCTACACCAACTTAGGGAGCTATCTACTAAACACATACACATATATATGCATATGCACACATAACCACACACACAATCATAGACCTATACACACATACTTACAGATACACAGACCTATACACACAATCACAAATACACACACACGATCACAGACCCCCCCACACACACATATATGATCACAGACCTATACACACAGTCACATACATACACACACAATCACAAATGTATACACAATCACAGACCCACTCACACATACAATCACAGACCTATACACGATATCACATACATACACACTCACAATCACAGACCCACATATGCACATAGTCACTGATCTATACACATAATCCAAAATATACACACAGTTACAGATGTACACACAAGGTGTTGTGTGTATGTGAGGGGTGTTGTGTGTGTGTGTGAGGGGGTGCTCTGAGTGTGTGAGGGGTTCAGTGTGCGAAGGGTTCAGTGTGTGTATGTGAGAGATGCTCTGTGTGTATATGAGAGGTGAATAAAAGTTCAGTTGACCTCCAAGCTATGTGTCGTCTAGTTCTTGGGAGGAAGGCCTTGTTATTACGCTACCTGTGTTTTACCTGCTTATCCTGACTACCAGTGGAGATATCGTGCATTAACCCCTACTACTCTGCTACACCAACTTAGGGAGCTATCTACTAAACACATACACATATATACGCATATGCACACATAACCACACACACAATCATAGACCTATACACACATATTTACAGATACACAGACCTATACACACAATCACAAATACACACACACGATCACAGACCCCCACACACACACATATATGATCACAGACCTATACACACAGTCACATACATACACACACAATCACAAATGTATACACAATCACAGACCCACTCACACATACAATCACAGACCTATACACGATATCACATACATACACACTCACAATCACAGACCCACACATGCACATAGTCACTGATCTATACACATAATCCCAAATAAACACACAGTTACAGATGTACACACAAGGTGTTGTGTGTGTATGTGAGGGGTGTTGTGTGTGTGTGAGGGGGTGCTCTGAGTGTGTGATGGGTTCAGTGTACGAAGGGTTCAGTGTGTATGTGAGAGATGCTCTGTGTGTATATGAGAGGTACTGTGTGTCTACGTGAGGGGTGCTGTGTGTGTATGTGAGGGGGGTGCATAGGGATAAGGGATTTATTTTTTTAAATACATTTTTTAAAAAGCTTCATGTTCTCCCCTCCCCCCCTTCTTCCTACCTTTGGTAAAGTAGGGGAGGGGGACACTTCCAGCCCTGGTTATCTGGTGGTGAGTAGTGATGAATAGGCCCTTCGTTAGTGAGAGGTCGGACCTGGGAGGCAGTTCCCCCTTTGAGCATGCTGGTCAGAGTGTTGCCATGGCAACGCTCCAACAGCATTCTGCTCACGGGAGAAGTGAAGACAGCCTGCAGACAGAGGAGCTGCAGGCTGCCTTCACTTCTCTCGCGTGCAGAATGCTGTGTCGGAGCATTGCCGTGGCAACACTTCTACCAGCATGCTCGCGGGAGGAACTGCCTCCCAAGTCCTACCTCTCACTAACGAAGGGCCTCTGGGCAGATGAGGGAGATTTTTTAATCTCCCCACCGACCCAGAGAGACCTCAAAGCAAGTGAGCATAGACGGTTCTCCGTGGGAAAGCAGTAGAGATCAAATGATCTCCCCTGTCGGCCCACACTGCGAGCAGACCCGGGCCACATACGGCCTGCGGATTGGACAACGTTGGTATACATCTTCCTAAAAAAGTAGACCTCTTAAAATACTAAACATTTTGTGTCAAGAATCATGTTTTAGCATGTTTTTATTTCTTTTACCCAATTGAATATTTGCCAACAATTTGAAACAAGAATGTCTGATATACAAAATGATACATTAGTTGAACTGTCAGAAGAAATTTCATGTATCGTTTAAGTGAATCAGTCTTCCTTTATATTGAACTTCTTTATTGTTCTGTTTCATCTGTAAATATTGCTCAATGTGCTATGGCCTTGATGAGTTAATTTCAATAGACATCTGTGAATGATATATGTTAGAGATTCATTTTTCAGCTTAGAGAAGCTTTCAAACTCCAGTATAATTATCTTTCTCTTTTTAATTATTGCTTATACAAGAATGACATATGGTCTTGTAATATTTTATTTGATTTGCCAATATAAATAGAAATCAACTCAACATCGCTTGATAGTATGAAATATTGGTTTGTTTTACAATGTTTCATTTTACAATGCTTTTCACATGATATTGTCTTCTCGACTTTTACTTACCTTGGCATTAAGATTGCACTAAATAACTAGATTGACAGATAATTCTTTGTGTGAATACAGCATGTTTTTTCATGAAGAATTGTATGATAATATGTGCTGCGTTTATGTAGATTTTTTTTTTACAGTGGATCGATTTTTTTTTTAAATGTATACAGGGTTTTTTCTAAATTGACTGACTCACATCACATCTGCAATCAGAACAGCTGGGAGATATCTGGATACCAGTAGAAATATACTTAAGATGTTCAATTGTGTTAAATCAAATTAAATTTGGTACCAAATCTCTATAAAAACACATCATTATTATTATTTGCTGGTTTTGTAGTAAACTAGAGTCTTTAAGTTGAAAAATAAAAATATTTAAAGGTTTCTGTAGCAGGAGTGCCGCTAAACTGTTAATTTCCCTGGTTTCCCTGTTGTGTGTGTACTGTCTTGGCAGGGGTTCTCCCTCCCTTTTGTGTATTGTCCCTATGGTGCTCCTGTAGTTTACTCTGTGTGTTCGTCTAAACTACCTACCTGCCCGTTCAGGAGGGCTGCCATGACGGGAATCCATTCACCTCCTTCTGAATGGGGACCACCTCGAAACCCCATTTAGAATGTTGTTTTAGAATGTTTGCACCTCGTAAAGAGGTGTCAACACCACAAACCGCAAGGGAAGCCTCGGCGCGTGCCTCCCCTGGGTGGCAGCCTGTTCGTTAGATGAATGCCATCTTGGGGGAGCATTCGTGGGATTGCTTCCCACCTCATTCGGTTCCCAATTGAGGACCTCCCCAGTGCTCCTTAGAGTGTTCGCACCAATCAATTAGAACGTTGGCAACTCGCAACATAAGTGTGAAACCACAAGGGAAGTAATTAATGAGTGCTTCCCTGGGTGGCCGGCCGTTCGTATAGATGGACGTCGGCCAGGGGGAGGATTCGTGTCCCAAATGGAGACGCTTCCATTGCCTGGTTTCACCTAGGGACCCTGCGAACGGAAGCTGTTCCTGGCAGTTACCGTTCTGGGGATACCTGAGATTGGTGGGGACGCTCTTTGGGGACAATGGCGGTTGGGCAGGCTTTCTGTACCTGGGAGCCAAAGAGGTATTGGGGCTCCCAGGTACAGAGGCTCATGGGATGAAGATCCCTTGGCACCAGAAGTGGGAAGCCCTGAGCATGTGTGGCAGGAACAGAGGACAAAGGGACTGGAGTTCCGTTTCCTTCCGGAAATATAGTGTATGAATACAACCTTGTTTCCATGGTTACCAGCCCTCACGAGAGGGTACCATGGAAACCATAGTAAACAATAATAAAGACCGGTACTAGGACAAGATATCAGAAACATAGAACCAATTAATGTGTGATACCATGAATAGATTAATCTAATAGTGCTAATATATATAGGGGAGCAGGAATCATGCCATCAGCTCCTGCAAATAATTCATGCACTATATTTCCGGGTAAGACACCTCCACGCATGCGCACATGCACTAAGCACATAAAATCGTCGGAAACCACGTCCCCGCATAGTACTTCCGGGTTGTTATACCTTCATGCAGCTGCACAGATTTTAAACACACGCCGACCGTCAAATATACATCACCTGTGGGGAGTTTAATTACTTCATTTCCTTTTCTCTTTTTCTCTTACTTATGGGTATATATTGCAGTATTTTAGGCTGACATGTTATTGTTGTTTGTTGCTCCTGAAGAAAGCCCAGGATGTGGGCTGAAACGCCGAGTTTTTATGGAATAACTGAATAAAGATGATTTTTTACTACAAGACCGTGAGTGCTAGCCTATACCTCAATATTAATGTATATATATATGGATATATATATATATATATATATACATATATATATATGCAATTCTGGGCCACCGCTACTTTGTCCTGTGGAGAGGGGACCCAGAAGTCTTATGTTCCCCTCCTGCAGCTTCACATCTGCTCTTCTCGCAAACCACGAGAGCTGTTTGCCACGTGTCGCATGGAGCTTGCCATAGCCAGGGCCACCATCAGAGAGTGACAACCAGTCGCCCGTGCCCCCATGTAGCGTCCGAACTGCCGCCGGTGCAGCTGCATCAGGGCCGCAAGCTGATAGGGCCAATTGCGTGGCCCAAGCATTTAGGGCCACCCGATGGGCCCTGTATCTTCAGGGGCCCGGTCATGCTATTTAAAAAAATTGCAGGTGCAAGTAATGCTGAGAGGAAAAAGGAAACGATGGAACGCAAAACCAGGAAGCAGAAATGCTATACAAACGCACGAACTGGCGGCAACAAACAAGCGCCAATTATGGATTATTTAATAGGATGCTCACAGCCAGCAACATATCAGCAACTGAGGAAGCCTCTGAACTACTACTACTTCATTACTTGAAACCTCCTGGCAGTATAAAGAAGGGAGTGGGAACCTTGATATCTCACAGAGCTGGAAAGTTGAGCCTTATCCATAGGCTCCTTATTTGTGAGTGAAATTTCATCCACTTTTTGCACTTTATAATTGTATACAGACAACATTGCACTATTATGTGTCCTATTTTGTTTTATTTCTAGAAATATTTATTATTGTCAGCTATTCAAATAAGAAGATACTCTACCTTATACTGCATGTATTTATAAGTTTGTTGTGAGGGTAAAGGGAAAACTCACTAAGGTGTTTGAGTATCTATTATTTTTTGTGTGTCTCACTGGGATACTGTTTTTATTTAGTGCTGAGAGGAAGTGACGGCCAGTCACTTCCTCCCAGCTCCCTCCACACGGGAGGGGAGAGAGACAGGCCGCAAGGAGGGGAGAGACTGCCACCCTCCTGCAAAGAAAAGGTAAGAAACAGGAGGGTGGCTGAAAAATTAGATTAGTATGTGTGTGCAGTATTTATGTCAGTATGTATGTATGTGTATGTATGTATGTACAGGGTCGCAATCAGGGCATGACAACCATGATGACTGTCATGGGCCCGGTGGTCCTGGGGGGCCCAGACTGCTACCTATATGCACATATATAGCGATTTACGCTATGTATATGTGTACTTGCAGGCCCCTGGCTCACTTCCATTCCAAGCAGCTCCCCAGTCTAAATCTTGCGCGCCCTGCAGCCATCAGAGCATTGCCACGGGTTACCATGGCAATGCTCCACGTGGCATGCAGGCCATGAGAGTTAGAGACAGGAGCTGCTGGGAAGGGAAGTGAGAGTGTGCTGTAGCCGAGAGCCCGCAGCCATGGGCATCCAAAGAAATTTTTCCAGAGGGGGGCATAATTGTAATGACATCCATGCTTGGCCCCTTTTTGACAGTGCCATGAAGGGGAGGATCATATTCATTATCAAATAAAGCCAGGGTGAAAAGTGTTTTCACAACTATGGTGTCAGGAATACATGTTTGTATTCCTGACACTATAGTGGTCCTTTAAGCAAATTAAAGGAACATTCTGGTCACCATAACAACTTCATCTAAATGAAAATGCTATGATGCCAGAAAGCCCCTGGGTGCTCTCTTTCCTATAAGGGGTCAAACTGCTCTCAAATGGTTTACAAATATATTCAGGGCCAATACAAACCATTGTGTGGAAATCTATTCACAAACCGGACTTTACATAGGACACGAGGTCATGCGTTTAGACTGGAAGTAAGAAGATTTTGTCTAAGGCAAAGGAAAGGTTTTTTTACTGTAAGAACAATAAGGATGTGGAATTTTCTGTTTAAAGAAGTGGTTTTTATCAGAGTCCATTCAGATGTTCAAACAGCTACTAGATGCATACTTGTAAAAACAGAATATTAAAGGATATAATCTTTCAATGTAAGGTAATAACTGCGTGTAACGGCACCCCGGCATAAAAGGGTTAAACCGACGTTTAGAAGATCTTCCCCTTCCAGATACACAGGCAGCTACTGTAGACACCAAACTCCTGAACTGCATACAAAGCAGCACTCCAAACTCCCGAACTGGAACCTCACGAATAGCTGCTAGCAGACGAACAGGAAAAGCACCCAAGCGGCTTACACTCCTGGCAGTCAGTCTCTAACAGCATACAGTAAACCCCCCAAAGACGAGACAGAGCTCCGTGTTGAGGGTCAAGCAGTGGTCTGGTTTAATGAGGGCTACCTGCCCAGTATTTATGCAGGTCTCCCATCTGGTGGACACTCCCCTAGTGGACCAAATGGGAGACTGTGACAAAGGACAGACATGAACCAATGACAGACACACAGAGGTAAAACCTCCCCACAATGCATCCTAACTTC